ATCCATCCTTTTTTGATTCTTATCGGTCTAAATGTATTCCCATTGACTCTTGTCGACCCTCACTGATTCTCAGTGATTCATATTAATTCCCATGGGTTCCCATTGATTCTATTTCATTCTCATTGATTATGATTGATTCCGATTGATCCGAATTCATTCCTATTGGTTTTATTGGTTCTTGTTGGGTCTCAGTGATTCTGGTTTATTCTAATTGAGTATTACTGATTATCATTGATTACTATTGATTCTTATTGGTTCTAACTGATTCCTGTTGATTGTAGCGAATTCCTTATTGATCCACACTGATTCCTATTGATTATCATTGATTCCAATTGTTCCCTAGTGATTCCATTGATTCATCCATCTCCAACTGGATTTTATCAGAGTTCCATCCATCCCTAACAGGGGCTCACGAGAACTTCATCAATCCGTAACAGGATCCAATTAGAGCTCGATCCATCCCTAATACAATCGTATTGGAGGTCCATCCATCCTTAGCAGGGTCCTATTCGAGCTCCGTTCATCCCTAACAGGATGCTATTACAGCCCCATCCATACTTAACATGATCTTATTAGAGCTCCATCCACTCCTAACAGGATCCCCTAGGGTTCCATCCATCCCCACTAGGATGCTATTAGGGCTCTGTCCATTTATAACATGTTACCATTAGAGGAGGCGGCCAGAGACGTTGCGTCGCCAGCGCGTGATCGTTTGGCGAAGACAGGGCCGAGTTGACCCCTATATGGGTCCCAGTGGATTTTGTGGCTCGTTGTTTGGTATGAGTGCTGGATGCTGGCTGCTGGCTGCTGGCCCCCCGTTCGTGGGTGGTGAGGGGCACACATAGGCGTTGATGCCTTGTTGTTGTTGTTGTTGTTGTTGTTGTTGTTGTTGGTGGTGGTGGTGGTGGTGTTGTTGTTGTTGGTGGTGTTGGTGGTGTTGTTGTTGGTGGTGGTGGTGTTTGTGGTGGTGGTGCTGGTGGTGGTGGTGTGTGTGTGTGTGTCTTGTTTTTGTTCCCCATGCGGACCTTCTTCGTTTTTGTCCGTCGGGGGGGGGGGCGGGGATGAGAAGGATGAGGTGGAGGGGCGGGGAGGGAGGAAGGAGGAGGGAGGGAGCATGGATGAGGAGGCGGGAGGAGGGAGGGGGGAGGAGGGGGGAGGGCGGCCGGAGCGGGAACGGAAGGGTGCGCTCGCCCAGAACGGATCGCGGGGGAATGAGATTGCACCATGAAGGTCACGATGACCTCGTCGGCATCCTTCGTCAGTGCCGTCGTCCCTCTTCCTCGTGTGCTGGATGAGCGCTGCCTTGCGTGAGCCTTCGTGTCTTGATGGCTGCGATCCGAGAAAGAAGAGATCGGAGCGCAGCGCTCAATCAGCTTCAAAGTTGAAGAGCCAGTGCGTGCCCGATGGGAAAGAGGAGGGCGAATCATACTGGACGTCCTCCTCCTCCTGCTCCTCTTTTTGGTTTTCCGCTTCCTTCTCCTTCTTATCCAGCCCCTCTCTCTCCCGCTTCCGCCCCGAGGGGGGCCTCGCCCAGATCGGGGCGCGGAGGAAATCAGGGATCGGGGGTGGACAATTAGGACCCACGAAATGCCGAGCCGTCTCGCGAGCCGCCCCCCCTGATCGACTCCCGAGGGGGCGTCGCGCGTCGCGCAGCGCTTCTGTTGCGGGCCCTGCGCCCGCCGGGTCTGGCCCCGGGCCGTTTGCACCGGAGGGTGTTCTGCTAGCGGGCCTGCCCCGTTTCGGCCACGCGCAGAGGGGGGCAGGGGGCGAGGGGGTAAGGCTTCTCAGAAGCACCCCTGCTTCTCAGAAGGCGCGGGCCTTGTAGGGCCGGCACCTTCTAAGAAGCAGCCCCCTTCTCAGAAGCCTTCCCCCTCCGCCTGCCTACCCCCCTTTGTGCGTGCCGCCAACCGTTTCCTGTGCCTGATTCGGCTCCGTTGAATCCCTCGTCTGCCGTCATTGTTTTTGGAGTCAAGTTGCCGCTGATCGCTCGTTTTGCCTGTTGTCCACCCCCGAAGGGATGATCAGGGGCAACGGCAGGAGGTTACTGGCCACAGGGGGGGAAGCCTCGACAGGGGGGGAGTGGTTGGCGGAACGGTTGGCGGTGGCTCAAGATTTTCGGGCGTTTTTGTACATGATCATTGTGGCTTTTCCAGCCTCGGGATACGTTCCCGCGGCGCCTCGATGCAGGCCGCATCCGCATCCTCATCCGTCGTCGTCTTCGTCGTCCTCGCCCTCACCCTCGTCGTCGCCGTCGTCTTCGTCGTCGTCGTCGTCGTCCTCAACATCGTCTGCATCGTCGTCCTCGTCGTCCTCGCCCTGTTCGTCGTCGTCGTCGTCGTCGTCGTCGTTTTCCTTGTCGTCCTCGTCATCGTCCTGGTTGCCTAGGCCGTGGTTGTGAACCGGCTCCCGCCTGGCATCGTCTTCGTTCGAGATAGGCAGCCGCATCGTTGCCATCAGCGGTGGCGGGGTGAGCGCCACGCGCTTTGGCGACCGCAGCTGT